AGGCGAGAGCCGGCACCTGCACAAGCAATAGCAAAATAGACATAAAATGACAACTTAATATTGGATGGAAGAGCAAAGGCAAGGTCAACAACAGCAAGCAGAAAACAGGTGGGACTAAGAACACTATGCTAAGGGATGCATTATGCCTGGACAAAGGGTAAACATTAACCCAGACACAGAAGTGGCTCTCCGACAAGAAATTCTTAAGGAAAAGTAGCAGAATGTTTCGAAGGACTAAGGAATGAGTCTGGGCCAAGAAGTACTGCTAGGTGGTGTCATGCTTTTTCAAGATCAAAAATCTCTTCAATAAACATGTGGATTGGCCCCTACAAAAACCAAATTGCCATGGAGAGATAATTAGAAATTTCCAAGTACCACACCAAATGTTTTTACCAGGCATTCTAACATTCTGCAAAATGCACTAGTAATAGCACTGGGTTTATAGTGAGGAATGTCATGGCCCAAAGTACCTGGCTTATGAAAAAGTAGGAAAGGGTCTGGCCATAACATGGTTCGACTCCTTCGTACCTTTTGATGGCCTAGTCAGTTAGATTGTTGGCAATGGCTGCACACATTCCAACACATACCAGTCAGGTTTTATCATTTTATTTTTTTAAAAAAAAAAAAAAAAAAATGGACTATTAGGACTTGAATTTTGGAGGCGAGAAACAGTGCCTGTATACTGCAGAATGAGTGGTGATGTTGCAGTTTGGTGGATCATTAGAACTGTGATGGCAATGTACTTCTGAAAAAATAAAATCTTGGAAATAAATGACGATGAATGAGTTTCTTTCGTACTGTTACCCTGCCTTGGAGGAAAACAGGTTAAGTGTTAAAAAAAATACTTCATACATAAACTGATTGTACACGTCCTCGATCCACAAGGAAAGATGGTTTTAATACGTTATTTAAATTTAGTTTTTTTTTTTTTTGCTTGTACAAAAATGCTTGACAATAACTTTTTCTGTATTTTTATTTTTCCAATAGGTGAAGGTTTGGACACCACTTTAATCTGAAGTGGCATGACAAACAACTAGCTACCCAGGTGGCACAACTAACTCACAAGAGATAGATTAATGGGTAATGAACTTAATGAAAAACTGAAGAATTTGTTCTTCTTGAAATACAAATATTCTACATACAAAAAGGTTGACTTACAACATTTATAGTAGATTTGCTCTAAATTAAATGCTAAGCTTTCTTTTAACATGTTCCAAGGATTTATTGTCTTCTGGCTAAGATAGGCAAGCTCTACTAAGAGCCCTGACATTATAGTGGCCAGTTGTGCATATATTTACACAATAAAAACATTCACCAACCGTACTTACCCAAAATATTATTGCTGTAACTAAATAAAATGATATATAGGGTAGAGAATCAAATTTATGGTTAGTGTCACTATATAAATCTCCAATCTATTAAAATTACAAAAGCACATAATATACCCCACCAAGCAGGGAGAGAACGAGGTTGCGAGGTTCTGACCAGAGCTTTGGTAAGATGGGAGGGATTATTATTATAATCAAAAAGAAGCGCTAAGCCACAAGATGGGAGGGAGGAAGAAGGATGGGTGAGGATGGAATGTAGGAAAGGTTGGGGAGGGAGGAGGGGTAGGTGGGGTTATAAAAGGGTAGTGGCCTATCCACTTTGGTGTATTTTGAATACACGTGTGTGCATACCGAGTAATTTATAGAGGGGTTGGTTTTATGAGTGGGGTATTCCTCCTGCCCATCAATTGCACACTGCTATATTGTTGTTATACCAGTACGTCATTGAATTGGAAGGATGCATACTGCATGCAATTTTTTTTTTTTTCCGCAAGAGGTTGGTCAGAAGGCCGCAGCTGCTGGCGGAAGTTGCAGGTCATTTGATGGAGGTTGGTTGCTCACCTGGGGTTGGCTGGCTAAGCAGTGACTGAGGTGGTGTCCTGCTGGAGGGTAGTTGTAGGTGCAACATGATTAGTTGTGAGGTGTTGGTTGACAGAAGTGGGTCACCCGAAGATGGGGAGCGTTAGTCCGTGTTACTGGACATAGAATGGTTCCTGTGGTATCCATTCTTCTTCTGCGGGGAGGTCACTTAATATTTTCGGTTGAGGGAAGTTCTCCTTGTGGATGAAGAGTCGAACTCTTTGTTGGAGGGTCATTCTTTGGGATCTGTGAGGAGGGGTGGTAATGGTATAGTCGGTCATGTTCACTGGGTGGGGGTGGTTCTCTCTGTCAGGCACATAGAGTTCCTGCATGTCATATAGTTGTCTCTTTGTGAGTTTGTCTAACCGGACATTGACTGTGGGGATTCTCTGTTGTATGTGTAGGTCCTGAGTCTGGTGCCAGTGATGAAGTGGACAGCTTTGTTTTGGACTCTTTAGAGTTTTAGCATGTTGGTTTTGGTTGTGAGCAACATGGGTACACAGGGGTATTCCAGCAGAGGTCTGATCATCATCTTGTACAAGTGTAGTTTGATGTGGGGAGGAGCTGCTTTGAATCGGTAAAGTTGGCCAAGGCGGGCTTTCGCTAGGTTTACTTTTTTGGTTATGTGGGATGTAGAGTCGAGTAATCTGTCGATCTCGTATCCTAGGATCTTGTTTGGATTCCTAATAGCAATTTGGGTGCCTCTGATGGAAATGTCCCCTTTGTCTTCTATGGTTGTTGGCAAGCATCCGACGGTGCTGATGAGGACTTTGTCTGGATTGGTTGTGATTCTCCATTTCTTCTCCCACCTGGCTGTTCTATTTAGTTCTTCATTCATTTTCTCAATTACTCTCCTATGCTTATTTGCACCAGCTGTAGGGACAGAGGAGACAACATGGATGACATCGTCTGCAAATTGGGTGAACGAAAGGTGGGGAAGCTCTTAAACAGAAATTTGAGATGATTAACGGCTCAATAATGAGTACTGAGCCAGCAAATCTGCTTGCTGAATGTTAGTGATGTGGTAATTAAAAGTTGATATTATCATTCCTCTAAAATGCAGAGGAGCAAGAGGCTAGTAACCCCTTCTGTATAAATTACTAAATTTAAGAAGAAAAACTTTCATTTTTCTTTAACATGCTTTGGTGGGATACAGCCGGTGTGTTGAGAAAAAAAAATTTTCCTCAGATGTTTGGGCTTTAATGGTTTCAAAGATGAGACTTAACGGTACTGAACTCATTATTGAGCTTATACCGTAGTCCAACTTCCTTTTCTAGACACTACTCATCAATGATGACATTTGTCCTCCAAGACTTAGGTCACACTACACTTGCATGTACAAGCATATATATACACACACACACACACCCCTCTGGGTTTTCTTCTATTTTCTTACTAGTTCTTGTGCAGGTTTATTTCCTCTTATCTCCATGGGGAAGTGGAACAGAATTCTTACTCCATAAGCCATGCGTGTCATAAGAGGCGACTAAAATGCCGGGAGCAAGGGGCTAGCAACCCCTTCTCCCGTATGCATTACTGAAGTTAAAAAGAGAAACTTACGTTTTTCTTTTTAGGTCGCCTTGCCTTGGTGGGATATGGTTGGCTTCGTTCATTTTGTGTTTAAGAAACCCTATTTGTGTAATCATTTTAATATGGTTAAAAATAACACTCATGAAATAATGAACCAGAATAAGAGAGATACAGGCATGAGAAAGCCAATGCTAAAAAATAAAATATTAGGTGATGAATTTTATTTGCTGATTGCCTTTTAGTAAAAATGTTGCATAATCAGAATGAACAAATGTGGAAGCCTGCAAATTTGTAGGGATAGCTTTCTCCCTCTTCTCTCCCCATCACTCTTTGGTTACCCCCTGCTTTGACAGGTAGATATGATGAGTTCGTGTGTGTGTGTGTGTGTGTGTGTGTGTGTGTGTGTGTGTGTGTGTGTGTGTGTGTGTGTGTGTGTGTGTGTGTGTGTACTCACCTATTTGTACTCACCTATTTGTGGTTGCAGGGTCGAGTCCTAGCTCCTGGCCCCGCCTCTTCACCGGTTGCTACTAGGCCCTCTCTCTCCCCGCTCCATGAGCTTTATCAAACCTCGTCTTAAAACTGTGTATGGTTCCTGCCTCCACTACGTCATTTTCTAGGCTATTCCACTGCCTTACAACTCTATGACTGAAGAAATACTTCCTACTATCTCTCTGACTCATTTGTGTCTTCAACTCCAATTGTGGCCTCTTGTTTCTGTGTCCCCTCCCTGGAACATCCTGTCCTTGTCCACCTTGTCTATTCCACGCAGTATTTTATATGTCGTTATCATGTCTCCCCTGACCCTCCTGTCCTCCAGTGTGGTCAGGCCGATTTCCCTTAATCTTTCTTCATAGGACATTCCCCTTAGCTCTGGAACTAACCTTGTTGCAAACCTTTGTACTTTCTCTAGTTTCTTGACGTGCTTTATCAAGTGCGGGTTCCAAACAGGTGCTGCATACTCCAGTATGGGCCTGACATACACGGTGTACAGTGTCTTGAATGATTCCTTGCTAAGGTATCGGAATGCTGTTCTCAGGTTTGCCAGGCGCCCATATGCTGCAGCAGTTATCTGATTGATGTGTGTGTGTGTGTGTGTGTGTGTGTGTGTATGTGTGTGGTGTGTGTGTGTGTGTGTGTGTGTGTGTGTGTGTGTGTGTGTGTGTGTGTGTGTGTGTGTGTGTGTGTGTGTGTGTGTGTGTGTGTGTGTGTGTGTGTGTGTGTGTGTGTGTGTGTGTGTGTGTGTGTGTGTGTGTGTGTGTGTGTGTGCGCGTGCGTGTGTGTGTCAACTTGAGAATGCTTAATCAGCAAAATGTGTTTAAATTTGATTCACTACCCTATTTGGTTTTATTTATGCATACTACTGTATTTGCTGACACTTGATTCTACTGATTAAATACATGACATCTACAATCCAGACTCCCCACTAAACAATATTCATCAGTGCTGTACTAAATTACAGTAATTAATACAGTGTGAATGATGCAATCCTTATCCAAGCAAAATGGTTCATGTACTGATTTTGCTCAGGAAAATGATATAATACAATATACCTTATGCACTAACCAAAAAAAAGCTTAAAGTACAATTTTAGTACTTTTTATTTTAACTGGATCACATTAATATTCTGTCTTTTTCATCACAGCAAGAATTTCTTTATAATTCAAGTGGTCTTGAAATCAACATAATAACACACCACAATGTGTGTGTATGCATATGTTTTTGTGCGCATGTGCATTGGTGTACACGTATATGAGCACATGTGTGCATGCACATACACATGCATGTTTATTATCCAATACCATAACTCTCACTTCTTCTTTATTCTTTTAATGGGACTTTGATGAGCTCTACTGAAAAATAAAAGGACTTTTTAATAAAATATAAGAGAAAAAGTTGTAAGTGAGGTGTCTAAGTCCTTATACCTAAAGGTTAGATCAAATACCAAACATCATGCTTTTTTCTAATTAATATTTCCAAAGTATTACCCATACAATGAGAAATAAGGTTTCTTCAACTATAAGCAATTGCTAAGAGAAAATATGCAATAAAAATACTGTATTTGAAAAAGTAAGCTGAGAAAACATACATATCCTAACTACATTATAGATACAATAGCAATTACTGTGAACATCAAAATATAATCAGGTTATCTAAATAAAAAAAAAAATAGGAAAAAAGAGAGGGAGGGAGCAATGAAGCAAAATGAGAGGATATCAAAGGGAAGTGTGGGAACAAAGAAAGAAAAATGAAAAAAGGAGAAAAAAGGAGTAGTAGTAATAATGGCAAATAAATTATCTAAGAACCCTAAATGATTGCAATGTTATATTCCAAAAGATATTTATTATATTTGTTTTTTAACAAGGCATCAGAAATTTAAAAATTATTATTTTTTAACTTACCTCATATCTTCAAGAATTGCTTTATATTCAGGAATGAAGTGATTCATCACATTAGGTAATGGATCACTAATCAGATATTCATTAAGGAAAAGTGGAGGAAGACAAGGAATCTGACGTGCAGCAAAACTTGCAAGGTCAAATTTTTCTGTAGTTTTGTTTACTTCCAGAAAAAAATGGGTAACACCCTCCACTTCTTTATATGGGGGTCTGAGGGAGACAAGAATAAACAACAAATTATTGATGGAATGTTTTAAATACAGTGCTCTAATGTCTTTAGTAAAATCACAAATAGCCTATATACAATGTACAGCACATATTTAAAATTGCTATATACAGATGGGTTAGGTTCCAGACCACCACTGTAAAGCGAATCACAGCCATTTTTTCCACTAGTCAGTGCATATAAAAGCCTAAAAATGCATTTACATTATCATTTAACCCTGAAACTGTCCAAATGTAGATAAACATTCGCATCGCTATTGGGCCGTGCGGACGTGCTGCGCAGTAGCTCCTGATTGAGTTGGCTTTTGCGCAGTGTTGACGTGTACTTGGCTCTGTGAAGACCTGTTTGCGCGCTCTCTAGAATTGAAGCAAGATGCCCTCCATCGAGCAACTTTACCAACAGCTTAAGGAAGAATTGAGGTTGGCGAATATGGAAATTCGGCGACTGACCGAGGAAAACAAGAAGATTCGTAGTAGTCCTCCTGTTTTGAGTCCTCAGGTCAAGAAGGGAAACTGGTCAGTGGCTGGACAGCAGGGAAAGAAGTTGACGATCAAGAAGACGAATGGAAAGGTAGAAACGATGAAGAAGAAAGAGACTGCCGTGGAAACTGTTGTGGAAACATCCAATACATTCTCAGTGCTACCCGACGAATGTGAGTCGACTACTGTGAACGAGACGACGAAAGACATTAAGGAAGGTAAGAATATTGTTGTTGTTGGGGATAGCCAAGTTAGGTATATGGATAGGGCGTTCTGCTTGAAGGACAGGAGTAGGAGACAGAGAGTTTGCTTTCCTGGGGCTAGGATGGAGGATATTGTTAGCCGTTTGGATGACATCATGAAAGGTAATGGGAGCAATCCTATTATCTGTCTCAGTGCTGGAGGCAACGATGTTGGCAGACGTAGGAGTGAGGACCTGATTAGCAGGTATAGGTCAGCAATAGAAATAATTAGAAGTAAGGGTGGGAACCCTCTCATATGTTGGTATTTTGCCAAGGGAGGGGAGTTGGAAGTGAATGGTTGTCCAGGGCAATTGGTGTCAATTGCTGGCTGGACAAATACTGTAAGGAAAATGCAGTAACATTCATTGACAACTGGGACCTCTTCTATGGCAGAAATGACATGTTTGCTAGGGATGGGTTCACTTATCTAGGTGTGGGGTGGGAGCACTGGCAACTGCAGTGGAGGAGCAGTTAGGACTTTAAACTAGGAATAGTTTTGTGGTATGGGTTTTTTGGCAGGAAAGCAGTGAAGTCCCAGTGTGTAATATTACGAGTTCTAGGGGAACTAGTAATAATAAGAACGAGATAGATATTGAAAAGCCAGGGACCTTGGGTGATAAGGACAGTAATAGGTTAGTAGAAAAATAGAAATGAGCAGGAAGGGTAAAGAGAAAGAGAGTCTTTCAATGTTTATTATGCTAATTGCCGTAGTGCTAGGAATAAGATGGACGAGTTGAGATTAGTTGCTAGTGTAGGTAACATTGATGTATTTGCCTTAACTGAGACGTGGTTTAATTCAAAAAGTCGGGACATGCCTGCGGAATGTCATATTCAGGGTTTTAAATTGTTCCAAGAAGATAGAAGTATTGGGAGGGGGGGTGGGGTGGCATTGTATGTCCGAGATCGCTTGAACTGTTGCATAAAAATGGGTATTAAGTCTGAAGTAACACATACAGAGTCTATTTGGATAGAATTTTTCAGAGAGGGCATGAAAAACTGATTTTAGGAGTGATATACCGTCCCCCAAACTTAGATAGGGACCAAGGGAAACTACTATGGGAGGAAATTGTTAAGGCCACAAGGCACGATAATGTAGTAATTTCTAGGAGACTTTAACTTTAGTCATATTGATTGGAATTTCTTGACTGGGAATTTAGAATCATACGACTTCTTAGAAGTAGTTCAGGATTGTTTTTTGAAGCAGTTTGTGACAGAACCTACAAGGGAAATAACCTGCTTGACTTAGTTTATGGCAAACAATGAATCCCTTGTTAATAATTTAGAAATTTCAGAGGAACTGGGTGCTAGCGACCACAAATCAATTACATTTAGCATTGAATGGAAGTACGATAGTAGCGATAACTCAGTAACAGTCCCAGATTTTCGCTTAGCAGATTACGATGGGCTTAGAGAACACTTATCATCTGTTGACTGGGTAACGAAGAGAGCTATCAATATGACAGTTTTCTGAACACTATACATGCTGCTCAAAGAGCGTTTATCCCATATAAAGAAATTAGATCAAATAGAAATGACCCAAAATGGATGAATAATAGGCTCAAATATCTACTAGGGCATAAGAAAGGAATTTATAGGCGTATCAAAAGAGGTGAGGGTCATCTTATGAATCAGTATATTGACATTAAGAGGGACATTAAAAAGGGGATAAGAAAAGCTAAAAGGGACTATGAAATTAAAGTTGCTAGGGATTCTAAAACTAACCCAAAAAGTTTTTTCCAGGTCTATAGAACAAAAGTTAGAGATAAGATAGGTCCCCTTAAAAATAACTATGGGCACCTTACTGACAAAGAGAATGAAATGTGCTTGATTTTAAATAATTATTTTCTCTCAGTTTTTACACAGGAAGACACTAACAATATTCCAGTAATCGTAATTTTACAGTGGGCTAGAAGAAGATAAATTATGTAAACATCACAGTCACTAGTGAGATGGTTGTGAGGCAGATAGACAGACTGAAGCAAAATAAGTCGCCAGGTCCTGATGAGGTTTTTTCAAGGGTTCTTAAGGAATGCAAAATGGAACTCTGTGAACCATTAACTAATATTTTTAATTTATCTCTTCAACAGGTGTAGTGTCTGATATGTGGAAGATGGCTAATGTAACTCCTATTTTTAAAACAGGGGACAAGTCGTTACCGTCAAATTACCGCCCAATAAGCCTGACCTCAATTGTAGGCAAGTTGCTAGAGTCAATTATAGCTGAGATTATAAGAAGCCATCTCGATAAGCATAGCTTGATTAATGATACTCAGCATGGATTCACAAGAGGCCGGTCTTGTCTAACTAATTTATTAACTTTCTTCAGTAAAGCTTTTGAGGCTGTTGACCACAATAAAGAATTTGATATTATTTACTTAGATTTTAGTAAGGCTTTTGATAGAGTTCCGCACCATAGACTGTTAAAGAAAGTGGCAGCTCATGGCATTGGGGGAAAAGTGCTCTCGTGGATCGAGTCATGGCTCACTGACAGGAAGCAGAGAGTGTCCATAAATGGGGTTAAATCCGAGTGGGGATCTGTAGCAAGTGGCGTTCCACAGGGATCAGTCTTGGGCCCGTTGTTGTTTATAATATATATCAATGATCTTGATGAAGGAATTACTAGTGATATGAGCAAATTCGCCGATGACACAAAGATAGGTAGGATAATTGATTCAAACGTAGATGTTAGGGAACTTCAGGAGGATTTAAACAAACTCTATTCTTGGTCAGAAAAGTGGCAGATGCAGTTCAATGTAGATAAATGCAAGGTTCTGAAGCTTGGGAGTGCCCATAACCCTAGTACTTATAAATTAAATGATGTAGAACTTAGCCATACAGATTGCGAAAAGGACTTGGGGGTTATGGTGAGCAGCAACCTTAAACCAAGACAGCATGCCTAAGCGTACGTAATAAGGGCAAATAGATTACTGGATTTATATCAAGAAGTGTAAGCAACAGAAGTCCAGAGGTCATACTGCAGCTTTATACATCATTAGTAAGGCCTCACCTAGATTATGCAGCTCAGTTCTGGTCTCCGTATTACAAAATGGACATAAATTCGATAGAAAACATTCAGCGTAGGATGACTAAATTAATACATAGCATCAGAAATCTTCCTTATGAAGAAAGATTGAAGACTCTTAAGTTACATTCACTTGTTAGACGAAGAATGAGGGGAGACCTGATCGAAGTGTATAAGTGGAAGATAGGTATTAATAAAGGGGATATTAATAAGGTCTTGAGGATGTCTCTCCAAGAGAGAACGTGCAGTAATGGATTTAAATTAGATAAGTTTAGATTTAGAAAGGACATAGGAAAGTATTGGTTTGGAAATAGGGTAGTTGATGAGTGGAACAGACTACCTAGTTGGGTTATTGAGGCTGGGACTTTGGGTAGTTTCAAATCTAGGTTGGATAAATACATGAGTGGGATGGGTTGGATTTGAGTGGGACTTTCACATCAGAGCTTATTTCTTGGGTGGCATTGAAAATTGGGTTGGGCAAATGTTTTGTTAGTGGGATGAATTGTAAAGGACCTGCCTAGTATGGGCCAGCAGGCCTCCTGCAGAGTTCCTCCTTTCTTATGTTCTTATGTTGCGTACTGCTCTGAATATTTCGAGAAAATTTTTTTTTTTTTTTTTGGTTTAAAATGAAGAGCGCATCTTTCCCAGCATCCCCAAATTTTGTCATACTGCACACACTGAGTGCACAGACTCATTCTCTCATCTTTAGGCAACTCAGGCTTACTGTGGCAAGGTTGAAAGCATGTAAAATAAAACGCAGATCTATGATCCAATCGGAGCGTTACACAGTGAACGTAGCTCTATGTTTGGTCAGTTTAAGGGTTAATAAGTGCACAATAGTGCTAGGCTTAAAAAAATAATGATGCAAGAGTAAAAATAATAAATGAAAAAAAAAAAAAAAGTGCCACTGCCAAAAGCCATCTTAAGAGCAAGGCAAGAACCAAAAATAATAAACATGAATATAATTGAAAAGCGCCATATTAGCAAAGAGCTTTAAAGCAAAGGACCTTAAAATGAGGAACACCTGTGGTAAGATGGCCCCAAAAAATAACTTGGAAATGTGTTTCCCCACAGGCTCTCCATGTTATACTGTGGAAATTTAAGCATACATAAAAAAAAAAAAAAAGCAGATTGGACAGGATTAAGAGATAATGCACAATTGCACATTGCATATATTTCTGGGAAATAAAAAAATTAAAATTACTGTGCTAAATTCCTGCACAGCAAAATCCATCATTATCAGCCCACACATTTTATGAACTGAGATTTCATTTAATTTTTATTAGAAATAGCAAGTCTCTCAACAATAGTCAATATTAATTATTTCTTGCACAGAGCTGCATTAGATGGCATGGGGAACTTTCTGGTACATCCTGATGAGCTTTCACAGGTATTACCATATTTGGCGGCTTATTAGAAGCATGTTTTTTTTTCCATAAAATGTCTCTAAAAACCACCATGTCCTATAAACGGAAGGTCAGTGATGGGAGCTATAAGCTTGAGGTGTGGGGTGGGCTGTAACTCTCCCAGTTACATCCGATGCCGAGCCATTGAAACTAAAACAAGTCTTACAAGCCGCGAAATACAGCACTTCTGGATCTCACCTTTCATAAGTGCAAAGTTGTAAGATGTATGTACAGTCATTGGTGACCTTCAGAAGTTTGACTTTGGGCTTTTATGACTGATGTGTAGGGTCCAAGTGCCACAGTGCAGGGACCTTTGTCAAGAACACAATGGCTGCTACTTCGTCCATTGTTTCCATTATATTCTCATTACTATTGTGTCAGAGTTCAAAGGGATTAATATGATAGACATTTTTCCATACGACACTTCTGCGATGAGCTGGCTCAAAAAAAAAAAAAGACGCTTAAGTAGCTGAAAGGATATGTAAAATTTATAAATTTTATGTGCATCAAACAATGAGATCCATCTGTGATGCATGCATTCAATGGAATGCAATGGTCAAACACCTTGCCACAATGCTATCTCAGTATTTTGGGAATATAACGAGTTGTTAACCATGACCTGTTTAGTCTCATCATCTACATGAACACTAGAGGGTGAGTGGTGCTTGGAGAAGTACCATAAATACCAACAAAATGTCTTGATAGTCATCTCCCTGATTTTTTTCTCAGAGGAGTGATGCTTTCTATCTCTGGGAGGGGAGCCTCATGCCAGTAACAAGACACGAGGCATATTATTATTATGCAATGTGTCTCGTGCACTGTCAGCTTCATTTCTCCTTTGAACAGGAAGAAGAATACAGTACACAGGAAGCCATAAAGAAAATAGAACTGGCAAGAAAAGCAGGTTTAAATATAGCTGCATGGAAGCTTTACTCTTTTGACTAATCTCATGAAATTACTTGAATAAGGCTAACAATATTTCAGCACTGTATCTAACCTGAAAAACAACTGAGAATATTCCTTACTTTGCTGTAACGACTCTTCCACCGCCTGCTTCAATAAGTCGAGTATAGGCTTCCACTCTTTCTCGGCTGGAATGGACCAAGGCTATCATGCTTTGAAAAGCCCCCTTTATTTTTCTTTGATTGGATACATCATTAATTTTAATTCTCCATCTTCGGGCAGCAACAGACAACTTGAATTCTGAACTATCAGGTGATAATTCTGAAAAACATTCAGTAGTAGGGTTGCCCCATTCATATGGCTCTTCCTGTAAAGCAAAGTTATAATTTAATGTCACAAATAATTTTATATTATAAGCAACATTAAAATAAGACACAAAACTGCTTGACATATGCAAGATTCAATGAATGAATAATTGATACAAGTACTCTATCAAATATTCTTATGCCCATAGAAATCTAAAGTCATAATCAATTTATCAACTGCAGTTTACTTCCCTCACACAATATTTTTAATAATGGAATAAAGAACAGAATTCCAAGAAGGAAAATGTCCATCCATAAGATATGCTCCATCTTGTATTAGATTCCTTCTTACACATCCTCTTTCCCTCCTTCCCTCCCTCCCTCTCTCTCTCTCCCCCTCTTTCTCTCCCCCCCCTCTCTCTGCCCCCCCTCTCTCTCTCTCTCCTCCCTCCCTCTCTCTCTCCTCCCTCCCTCTCTTCTCTCTCTTGCCCTTCCCCCTATCTCTCTCCCTCCCCTCTCTCTCTCTCCCTCCCCCTCTTTGTCTCTCCCTCTCTCTCCCTAGGAAAATGTCTATCCTTTATTAGTTTATTCTCCCAGAGTCACCCTCTCTGACTGAACATCCCCAATACCAGTAACCAACTAGCAACTACTGTATAACACAATCTCATACTTGGTATATATTACACTATTAATGACATATCAACCATATTTCATTCTAAACTAAATCCAATAATGGATGAAAATCAGATACATGAAAATTTAAATAGGTCAATATATACTGACAATAGACAGAAGTTAATTATAAAATAGGTAAGATAAGATTAAGATTTGTTTGGATATTTAACATGGAAGGTTAGCCACCCAGGATAACCTAAAAAAGTCAGTTCGTCAATGGGGACTGTCTTCTTTTCATTGAGGTCCTTTAATCTTGTCCCCCAGGATGCAACCCACACCAATCGACTAACACCCAGGTACCTACTTACTGCTAGGTGAACAGGGACAGACACACCAAGTGTAAGGAAATATGCCCAATGTATCCAACCATGCTGGGCACTAAACCACGGACACCTAGTGTGTGAGGCGAGTGTGTTGCCAACCAAGCCACAGGATACCAGATATAACTGATGAACAAAAACAAAAGTTGGGGCCATTATCAGATGGAAATACACAACTGTAGGACAGATCAACAAGGGGGTGGCACAGCTATATACTACTCAGACCAACTAGAATGTATCACTAATACTTGCACAAGGGATGAACATGGGGAATATATAATAGCTAAATTCAAATCCAAATACCTACAAAAACCTCTCACATTGATAAACATCTACAGAGTTCCACAGTCAAACATTAGCCAATTTAGTCAAAACCTAGGAAGTATGATAACTGATGCACGCATGAACAAAGATCACTTACTACTCTCAGGTGACTTCAATATAAATCTCCTGCAAGACCAGGACCCACACGTTACTGAATTCACAAACACAATGAGTAACTGCATGTTGCTACCAACAGTAACAAAACCTACAAGAGTTACGGAGACTAGTGTTTCCCTACTTGACCACATCTGGACCAACACCATATCCCCTTTAAAATCAAGCATAATTACAGATAATACCACAGACCACTACCCTACTTTCCTCATAACAACTTTTGGTAAATTACCCCAAGACACTACTAAAGTCACCTTCAGACTTCACAATGAGGCAGCCATTAATAACTTCTCAACAGCAGTAACAAACATTGGCTGGCACACTGAGCTAGAAATCTATGCAGATATTGACGAATGTATTAATAATTTTCTAAAAAAGACCCAATACCTCTATAACAAGCACTGCCCTAAAAAAACTAAACAGATGACAGCTAAGAGACTGAACAGTCCCTGGCTAACACCCAGCATTCTCAAATCCATAAATACAAAACACCGATATGAAAAACAGTACAGAATGGGTCACATAACCAGAGACCAAACAAAACGTTACTCGTCAATCCTAACCAGCCTGATAAGAAGGGCAAAAAAATTGTATTATGAGAACAGATTATCCAACTTACGAGGTGATATAAAAAAGACCTGGAAAACCCTATCAGAAATTCTGGGAACAAAAAAGATATCACGAAATAGCGAAATAAAATTAGCAAAATCAGATGAACCCTAACTCCCATCAACAGAAACAGCAAACAGACTCAATGATTTCTTCTCCACTATAGGACAAAACCTTGCCAATAAAATCCCAAGCTCAGATACCCCACCAAATGACTACCTCACTGGCAACTACCCGAACACACTGTTCCTAGCTCCGACTAACCCATACGAAGTCTCCCTTATTATCAACGCACTAAAAAACAAGGCAGGAGATTTAAATACCTTACCACCCTTTATATACAAAAAAGTGTCACAAGTGCTATCACCAATCATTGCAACACTCTTTAACAAATCCATTGAATCTTCCACCTTCCCTACAGTTCTCAAAATAGCAAGGGTCACCCCGATCCATAAAGGAGGAGACCAAACAGAGTTGAATAACTATAGGCCAATATCCAATTTACACCCTCTCTCAAAAATCTTTGAAAAATTATTTCATAAATGAATCTACTCCTACCTCATCTCCCAAAGCATACTCAACCCCTGCCAATTTGGATTCAGGCCTAATAAAAATACTAATGATGCTATTATACACATGCTAGAACATATATACACTGCAATAGAGAAAAAAGAAGTCCCACTGGGGATCTTCATTGACTTACGTAAAGCTTTTGATACAGTTGACCATGACTTGCTCCACGTAAAATTGTCACATTATGGTATAAGAGGGCACTCCCTCAACTACCTCAAGTCATACCTCAGCAACAGAAGCCAATATGTGTACACAAATGGGGCAAGCTCTTCCGCACAACCAATTACAGTTGGTGTCCCACAGGGAAGTGTCCTTGGCCCTCTTCTCTTTCTCCTATACATAAATGACCTACCAAATGCTTCGCAATTACTCAAACCCACACTATTTGCAGATGACACTACATACGTCTTCTCTCACCCGAGCCCAGTCACGCTAGCCAATACTGCAAATACCGAATTACAGAAAATATCTACCTGGATGAGGACTAACAAACTTACACTAAACATTGACAAAACCTACTTCATTCAGTTTGGTAACAGAGCTACAGATGTCCCTCTTAACATAATGATAAACGGATCACCTATCACAAAGCTAACAGAGGGAAAATTCTTAGGAATCCACCTTGATAATAGATTCAAATTTCATACACATATACAACAAATTTCTAAGAAAATTTCCAAGACTGTAGGCATACTATCGAAGATACGGTACTATGCTCCACAGTCAGCCCTCCTGGCCCTATATCACTCTCGTATTTACCCCTATCTCACCTATGGAATTTGTGCATGGGGCTCAACAACAATTAACCATCTCAGACCACTAATTACCCAACAAAAGGCTGCAGTTAGAATGATAACAAATTCTCACTACAGGCAGCACACTCCACCAATATTCAAAACACTCAACCTACTCACCATACAAAACATCCATACTTATTATTGCACCTATTACATACATAGAACACTTAACTCTGATATTAACCCTCCCCTCAAACATCTCCTTGCCAACCTCAACAGAACACATGACCATAACACAAGGCACAGATCACTCTTTGATGTTCCTCGTGTCCATCTCACGCTATGCAAAAACTCAATGCACATAAAAGGCCCTAAAATCTGGAATTCATTACCTGTAAATATAAAAGAAACACTACCTGTTTATAAATTCAAGTCTCTTCTCAAAGATCACTTACTCACCCAAAACCAAATAAATACTGAATAACTGAACCTTATAAATTGTATATCTTAAATGTTTCTCACAATTATATCACATAAATGTTAAACCTAAAACCCAATCTAACTTTATTATTTTTTAAACACACTACCTAACAGAATACTCCATTCGACTGAATGTACAGCAATGCATGCAACCATATGACCTGTCTTTGTAATACTCATTTGTGCTTTATAGTTATCTGTTTACAATAATGTTTTATCACTGATTTCATCATTGCTTAGTTAATCTTAAGTTAATTTTAAGCCAGCCCGTAATGCTATGCATATAAGTGACTTTGGCATGCTGCTCTTATCTTTATTTTTTTGTACCTCTGTATGTATGCTCAAATTACTAAATAAATAAATAAATAAATAAATAATAAATAAATAAATAAATAAAGTATTGGAAATATATTACTGTACTTCTAAGAAAACAGGAATGATTGTGATATAATAACTACAATACCTGTAGCATAACAAATTACTGTTTTAACCCTTTGAGGGTCGCAAGGCCCTCTCAGAGACTTGTTCTCAGGGTTGCAAAAAAAAAAAAAAAAAAAAAAAAAAAAAATCTCATGAAAAGATAGAGAATCTTTTCCCGATCATAACGACACCAAAAGTATGAAATCTGATGGAAAACTTGCGGAATTATGCTCTCGCGAAGTTAGCAGTTTCGACGATGTTTATGCATCGGCGATTTTGCCCACTTTGAGCCTTATTTTCGGCCAATTCCAGTGTACTGGGCGACAAAAATCATAACTATATCACTAGAACTTCGTTTTTTCTATCGAATGAATACAAGAAACCACCCATTTACCGATTTCAATTATCCAATAAAGTGGTCAGAATTTAGCAATTTTGCCAATTTCACACAAATTTCAAAAGATGCCAATTTCCAAATAGGGTCCAGAATAAACCAGAAAGACATTCCTGGCAATAAAATAACATTTCCTCTGTTCGTTAGTCACATCCCCAGGGCCCTCTTACATTTCTTTTGCTTTCCACTTTGATTTTTTATTCTCACAAAAAAATAAGATTTACTGTTATGCAGACTACTGCATACACTCTGGGTGGGAAAGGCATGTCTTACACCCTGAAGAGGGGTGGGAAAGTTACAAATGGAGGATAATCTGAATTGTGATGTCAGTATACTTTCAGCAAGACAATGATGGAATGAATGATGGTGAATGTGTTTTCTTCTTTGAGAAGTTGGCCTTTAAAGGAAAAATAATGCAGGCTCATCATGCATTCTTCAATGTTCCTGTGTACAGTATGGTAGAACTAGTGAAATATGATGTACCACTAATAGTATAGTAAGCTGGGGTAAAAAAAAAAAAAAAAAAAAAAAAAAAAACTTACCTTAACAAAATATCCAGATTTTACAGAATCATCTAAATACTTGCAGCGTAGCATCCATTTCCCAGATGCTATTGCTCCCAAGTGACGTTCTGAACGAGATGGTTTTCGTGTCACTATGTGAGTAATATGAGGGTCAAATGTTGGTTCTTCATGCACTACCCCTCCTAATTCCTCAATATTTTTGGTAAATTTGTTCAAATCCTCTTCACCCATACCTAGTAAGACAAAAACATAGCGAGATTTTGGCATGGGTAACTGGACTGCCATCTTCACTGGAGATGCATGTTCAGCTTCATTCACTAGTGTGTGCTCTTCTTCCACTGATGAATTCTCCTTGTCATCCTCTTTATCCTCTGAAGACAGCTGTTTAGAGTATGTTTATTATTATTATATTTATGGGAAAGTACAAAAATGCATAGGGGATATACAGCACCTGGGAACTGGGATGTACAGTACTATAATTAGTTAAGATTCACAGAAATTAATGGTTTATACATAATTTTTCTCTTCTGCATACTGGTAAAACCTTAGTAATGGATACTGACCACTGAGTAAAGAGACATGAGCAAACACTAGGACATACTTATTTAGAATATGTTTCACTCCTTGGTCCTTGATCACTTCCAACACACACAACGTTGAGAACAAAAGTAATTATCGTGTTTTACATTTATACTGAGGTTCAAATTAGTGAATGTAGCAAGTATCCAAACAAAAGAATCTATTGCTTCTCCCCCATTCATCATTTAGTCATAACAAATAGGAAATAGACAGACACTTGAAATGCTAGAAGTGTTTGAGTATCACAAAAAAGTGCTTAACCCTTTCAGGGTCGCCAGGCCCTCTCTAAGACTTGTTCTCAGGGTTGCCAAATTTAAAAAAAAAAAATGAAAAGACAGAGAATCTTTTCCCGATCATAATGACACCAAAAGTATGAAATGTGATGGAAAACTTATGGAATTATGCTCTCGCAAAGTTAGCGGTCTCGACGATGTTTATGCATCGGCGATTTTGCCCACTTTGAGCCCTATTTTCAGCCAATTCCAGTGTACTAGTCGACAAAAATCATAACTATTTAGCTAGAACTCCACTTCTATCGAATGAGTACAAGAAACCACCCATTTACCGATTTCATCTATCCAATAAAGTGGTCAGAATTTAGCAATTTTGCCAATTTCCCACAAATTTCAAAAGATGCCAATTTCCGAATAGAGTCCAGAATAAACAAGAAAGACATTCCTGGCACTAAAATAACATTTCCTCTGTTCATTAGTCATGTCCCCATGCCCCTCTTATATTCTTTTGCTTTCCACTTTGAATTTTTATTATCACAAAAAATAGAAGATTTACTGTTATGCAGACTACTGCATTAGTGTAGAAATGGTATAAATAATATCAGCACACTTGTGAAAGAATATTAGACTCACCAGTTGACGTTTATTGGACGCTTAGCATGATTTGTTTACTTTTGAACTTTGGTAAAAATCGAACATTTCTGCTACTTTGCGCTCAATTTCAAGGTACTTTTCATTTTAAAACTAGTCAAAATCATCTCAATTTCTGTAATATGTCTTCCATTCTATAAAATGAGACCAGGAAAACTAGAATACGACAATAAATGCCATATGAAAATACAGTGCAAGTCGCTGTTTTAATACAAAAACATGGTCAGTTTTTTTCCTCGTTACGCACTGTGTGCTGCAGGATTTTTTTTTATACTGCGCACACTCACCACATAGACCCATTCTTTCATATGTAGGCCTACCAGCTTTCTCTCACTAGATTTGAGGGCTCTAGAATTTAGGTGTATTGATACGTCAAAAACCCTGGTGCGTAAGCTGTACTAGTATGTCCGAAACCCTGAAAGGGTTGAACAATTAGCAGTGTTAGTATGAAATCTCTTGATTTTCACCCAGAGGAAGCCAGAGGCATCAAGCAGTACTATAATGGTATTGCCTCCAAAACTCAATGGCTCTTTGATTTATTCAGGAGAGTGGTGGAGCACCTAGAAAGGAAAAAGCTTATAAACGACAACCAGCATGGCTTCAGGGAAATCCTGTGTCCCAAACCTACTGGAGTTTTATGACAAGATAACGGAAGCAAGACACAAGAGGGGTGGGTAGATTGGATTTTCTTGGACTGCAAGAAGACCTTTGACACAGTTCCTTACAAGAGATTAGTGCAAAAGTTAGAGGATTAGATACGCATAACAGGAAAGGCACTGCAATGGATCAGAGAATACCTGACAGGGAGGCAACAATGAGTCTTGGTACGTGATGAGGTGTCAGAGTGGATGCCTGTGACAAGTGGGGATCCACAGGGGTCAGTCCTAGGACCAGTGCTGTGTTTGGTATATGTGAATGATATGACAGAAGGGATAGACTCAAAAGTGTCCCTGTTTTCAGATGATGTGAAGTTAATGAGGAAAATTAAATTGGTTGAGGATCAAGCTGCAAGCCTGGTCTAGCAACTGGCTCCTCAAATTTAACCCTGCCAAATGCAAAGTCATGAAAATTGGGGAAGGGCAAAGAAGACCGCAGACAGAGTATAGGATAGGTGGCCAAAGACTGCAAACCTCACTCAATGAAAAGGATCTTGGGGTGAGTATAATACCGAGCACATTTGAGGCACACATAAACCAGACAACTACTGCAGCATATGGGCGCCTGGCAAACCTAAGAATAGCGTTCCAATACCTCAGTAAGGAACCATTCAAGGCTCTGTACACTGTGTACATCAAGCCCATATTGGAATATACAGCACCAGTTTGGAACCCACACCTGGTCAAGCATGGCAAGAAATTAGAGAAAGTGCAAAGGTTTGTAACTAGACTAGTCCCAGAGCTAAGGGTAATGTCCTACAAAGGAAGGTTAAGGGAAATCGGCTTCACAACACTGGAGGACAGGAGGGTTAGGGGAGATAATGATATATAAAATACTGCAAGGAACTGACAAGGTGGACAGAGACAGGATGTTCCACAGATGGGACACAGAAACAAGGGGTCACAACTGGAAGTTGAAGACTCAGATGAGTCAGAGGGATGTTAGGAAGTATTTTTTCAGAGTTGTCAGGAAGTGGAACAGTCTGGAAAGTAACATAGTGGAGGCAGAAACCATACATAGTTTTAAAATAGGGTTTAATAAAGTTAATGAAGCAGGGGAGGCCTGGTCACAGACCGGGCCGCGGGGGCGTTGACCCCCGAAACTCTCTCCAGGTAAACTCCAGGGAGAGAGAGAACCTAGTAGCAACTAGCAAAGAGGCAGGGCCAGGAGCTATGACTCAACCACAAATAGGTTAGTACAAATAGGCGAGTACAGACTGTATCTACAACTATCTTTGTTAAGTCACTGCAAGGATAAAAAAAATATCAGCAGAAACTAGTAGCAGATTAATGGGTAGCAAGACTCACGAAATAGTAATGACACAAACCATACCACAGGCAGGGACAGAACCTGCAGTCAGAGAGTCGCAAAACTCCGGACCAACGCATTAGCCACTGGATCAGCTGGATACAATAAGATTCATCCAACTAGGTATATTTATACACCCATAATGGGTAGCAAGCTACTCTTCCACTGACCTCCATCATAATTATAAGTTGGACAGATAATTTAGAAGAGCAGCAGCATGTTTTGTCGTTATTATGTTTGAAAAAAATGCGGAACACTTAAACCGAGTGCTGGTGAGTAAAATTGCTCGATTCCATAACTATGCTGTGGTTGAAATCAGTGGTATTAGGAAGTGTTCAAAGAATCACACCAAGAAGTGTTTTTCTCGTTATCTCTGAGTTTTGTTATTTCATGGTCTCATTGGAAGTTGTTTATGCATTAGTGTGTTTACAACTGTCTTTAATAAGTAAATGCAAGGAAAAGACACTACCAAAGGAAATTAATGGCAGTAGTTCATCTCTCAGCTGGGAGAGAAACAAAAGAAATATTAGAGAGAATGGAGCAAATCTCTCAGGGGTACAGTGTATAGTTATGAATTTCATCACTACCCCCAAAAATTAATAGGAAATACAGTACATACACTGTTGAAATAGTACCTATCTCATGAGTGCCTATAGGAGGGAAATGCAAATCACTTTAATGTATTTTTCTCTTAACAAACCTGTTATTCATTCCCTATCTAGGTCATTAAGCAGGAGTCGACTGTAGATAAAGAACTAAATTAGAAACTCCAAAATCCTACCCTTACTTTCCTATTAGAGTTGATTCTACACTCAAATTTTCAAGATGGTCTTCATGGAAAATAGTTCTCACCTTTTTACACAGTTTAATTTACTAATTTGTACCCAGTACATAATTATTTAGGAGCAAGATTGTTAATAAGCTTGCATCATACCATAAATAAGGAATGCATATAACAGTAATCTGTTTACATGTAACACTCTTCTAAGAAATGTTCATTTTCTGTATATAAAGTACAGTAGGGCCCCACTTATACGGCAGGTTAGGTTCCAGCCTACTGCCAGAAAGCTGAACGCCATTTGTTTCTACTAATAAAAGTGAGATAATAAGTTTACACTAACATGTTTTAAATTAGCAATAGAACAAGGCATTAAAAACAATAAAAAGTAAAATACACACAGAACACTCATTACTTACCTCAAAATATTTGTACTCTTAATGTAGGGTGAGAAGTGAGTAGTGTTTATTGTAAGAAGTTAGGTGTGGTAGGTATGGTAGCCAGCCAGGCCACCCCACCCACATGTAATATACTTCGACATTTAAAGAGCCCTAGAGTGATTAAATGCATATAGTGTACACTCATCATTTACCTTAAAATATTTGTAGTCTTGTCTTAATATAGGGTGCAAGGTGAATAATAAGGTAGGTAGGTATCGAATAGTGTTCTAGGTATCGTAACCCCATCTGGCCACCCCACCCACACATTATATACATGTACTAGGCATTTAAAATGCCCTAGAGCGATAAAATGCATATACATACAGCATACTCATTACTTACCTTAAAATATTTATAGTTGTAATGTAAGGTGAGAGATGAGTAAATGAGATTAGAGAGATCAGAGAGAAAAGAGAGAAAATAGAGAAAAGAGAGGAGAAAAAAAAGAGAGAGAGAGAGATTAGAGAGAGAAAAGAGAGAGAGAATTAGGGAGAGACTAGAGAGATTAGAGAGAGATTAGAGAGAAGAGAGAGAGAAAGAGAGAGAGAAGAGAGAGAGAAGAGAGAGAGAAGAAAGAGAAGAGAGAGAGAAGAGAGAGAGAAAAGAGAGAAGAGAGAGAGGAGAGAGAGAGGAGAGAGAGAGGAGAGAGAGAGGAGAGAGACAGAGAGAGAGAGAGAAAAGAGAGAGAGAGAGAAGAGAGAGGAGAGAGAGAGAGAGAGAGAGAAAAGAGGAGAG